ATCATGCGCATTAACTATTTGCGCACGAAAACACTCTCGCGCTTGCGCTCATGCGATGATTGTGTCTAACAACTTCACGAGTGTTTCGTTGTCATATCTCGCCTCTGTTGGAATATTTTTCCGGCATTTTCTGTCGGACACCTATCGTGTAGAGCTATTTTCCCGGCAATATTGCAGGAAGCAATTTTTGCTTGCCATTTAACTGAAAATCTCCAGCTTGTCATTATTCGGCAAATTTGTTTGTTTTCAGAGGTCCACGTGTGAAAACTAAATAGCAGAGATAGCAGAGATAGATAGAGGGTGATTGCAGAGGGTTGGGTTGGGTTGTTAGGTTAGGTCAGGTCAGGTCAGGTTTTATTTCTGCTAGACAATCTTGTTTGAATGTGCTTAAAATTGTAAATATCAACATATCAGATCAGCATACTGTAGTTACTAGACTGTTAAGTTTAGTCTTTGTGTAAGTATCCTACACAAAAATCCAGATCCACAACCATAAAACAACGGCGCCAATGTTTGTTTTGATGATTGCGCAAGCGAGAGTGTGTACATGCGCAAATAGTTAATGCGCATGCGTGCCGGACGAATAGCCAAAACGTGATGAGATCCGAAGCCGGAACAATAACCACGACGCGTGACCCATCGGGAAGGGTATATGTGTGTGTGTGCGTGAGTGTGTGTGTGTGTGTGTGTGTGTGTGTGTGTGTGTGTGTGTGTGTGTGTGTGTGTGTGTGTTTATACATGCGCCTTGAGGTGAATAATCATGTTAATCGCTCCACGCCAATCATAGTGGGGTATCTATACGCACACACACATCTGTATTTTATTTGAATTTATGCCACTAATTCCTTGTAAGAGGAAGGATATTGCTTTCTTACGAATGACCGTCGGCAGAATTGTGTGTGCGTGTGTGTGTGTGTGTGTTTATGTATGTATAGATGTATGACTTAACTGTATGTATGTAGGTTTCTTTAACCTATGTAGGTTTCTATAGCTATGATTATAGTATCTTTTACAGTTACAGATGCAGATGATAAATATGTAAGCCTTTTTCTATGTGGCGACACCTGTATACCCCTGATGCAAAACATAGGCCATCTATGTTAATAATGCAGACAAATGGGAATCAATAGTCATTACCCTCTCGAACGCAAACAAGCGCAGGTCGCCGGACCCCCCGCCCTTGACGCCCGCCCCGCTGCCGCTCATTATTTTATGGCACCCACTCCTCCATCCCCTCACGCAGGTCACGGACGTGTGCGCGCGCGTGTATGTGCGTTTGTATATATCTGTGTGGGTGTGTGTGTGTGTGTGTGTGTGAATGTATGTGTGTATATGCGTGCGTGTGTGCATGTATATATATAAATATATATATATATATATATATATATATATATATATATATATATATATATATATATGTATATATATATATGTATATATATATACATATATATATATATATATATATATATATATATATATATATATATATCCTCCTCTTCTCTCTCAATCTCTTCCTCTTCTCCAATAACAAAATAATCGCTTTACACTTGTATTTGCGAAGGTATTGATTACGCGTCCATAACCTATGATGTAGTATATATAAGTGGAGGTGTGAGATTATCGCCCCGGTAGACGGGTGCATACCCCTAAAATGCAGTGCTATCAGGCTTATATATCTTTACTTCGGCAATATTACCTGGTTTAGTATGAATGAAGTACGCCCCCCAAAGGCTCCTCACGTCCCCTATGAGACCCTCCCGGTTCCTGCATACACACCTACACCTGAGCCATGCATGCAACTGCAGTTCAATTAAAGAACAGGTGAACATGCGCATGGCACCAACGCAAGTTGAAGTGATGTACTGAATTTTTTTGATGAAAGTTTTAAAGGCCATTCGTAAACGGCGCGTGCGTATATCCAATACTTGGCTTGGTGGAATTTTGCCATTTGAGAGGGTCGCCTTGTTGCTCTGCCCGCGCGCCGTTTAGGGGTCATAGGTCATGTGTTTTGTTTTTTTCTTAATATTTCTCTACCAAACTGTGCCAAGATTATATTTTGGACAAATCGTTAGATGTCACAGGATACTTTAAAATATTCATTTAATTTCACTGTCTATGTATATCTGTCTGACAGTCTTTGATGAACTTGATATGTGTCAGGCACCTAAATCCCTGATATTGCTTCGTAGATATTCAGGATAGGGGACTTAGAGAGATCATAAAGTCATAAACCTCTCTTTTAAATCCCTGTAACTTAGCAGAAAATTTACTTGTGTTTCTTTCAAATTATATATTCGTGAACTCTAGAGTTTACCGTAATGGCGAAGTGTGTGTATGTGTTTATCCTCTTTAGTGCCTTATTTCTGTGAACATTTAAGCTTGGCCTTAAACTATGTGCTTTATTCCATTGTCATGTTTAGCTGAGGCCCATTCTTTCGTACATTTGCCACTGGTTATGGGAAGAAAACTTTTTTTTCTGCGGACGGGAGCCACTTGCTTAACCAATTCATTATTTGCATGGTGGTTTGATGATAAGTATTTTTTCCCCTTTTACGTTAAATGCTTTAATTTTAGGTTATATTAGTACGACTGCAGCAGAGTATTGGTGTACTGAGTATGTTTAACTCAGTCTACTTTGATATAACTTGTATAGACACATAAGACTTCTTACGAAAAGGCCATATCGATGA